AAAAAAAAAAAACCGCATGCTGTGTGTGATTCCATTTATACGAATTTAGAAAAATTAAAGTTGTGTAGCTGGAGTTAGGTCATTGGTTCCTGAGCCACTCACCAGGGAAGTGGTTGGCCTCAAGGCATCCTGATACTTCTCAGGGTACAGCACCATTTTATGATCCTGGTGATGGTGGCGGTTTCTGACAGTGCACAGTCAACACGGTCCATCAAATGGTTGACACCCTTAATTGATGGATTTTATCATGTAAATTATACCTCATAACACCTCAAATTTTGATAACTGTAGATTTTTGGTGCTTCGGTGCCTTTACTTAATTTTCACTTGAACTGAAAAAAATTGGCCCATGAAATGTTCAATTCTGTTTCTCAGCATTTCAAAAAGCAAAATCATGAGAAGAAAAAAATCGTTGTTACAAATGGTGAATAATAATGTTTCAACACCAGTGAAATTTTAATTATTTTAGATAGGTAGAAAGTTATTATTTTCCTGATCTTCAGACTAAAAAGCATGAGCATGTTGTGTGACCGTGTGGTATGGTTGTGTTGAGGACTGCTGTCCAGATGAGACCCCTGTATCCTACTCTGCTATGGTCATGTCCTCTTGGCCTCCAAGTGAGAGTGAGACAGAAAGGACAAGGTAAAGCAAAGTAGTGCATGTCAACATATTGATCGTTGCCTCCTTACCCAAGCTGAAACCTTGCCTTTGGTGAGCTAAGCTGGGGTACAGGACCTGCGTAAGGCTTACGGCTGATTTGTTCCCTGTACAAAATTTTACATTAGCCAAGCTCTTAAGAACAAAGAGTAGAATAAATTGTGGTTCCCAGGGACTGAGGAGAGAGGGAAAAGAATTGTTCAGTGGATATACAGTTTGTTTTGCAAGATGAAAAAGTTCTAGAAGTCTGTTGCAAAAAAAATATGTATAAAGTTGACAGTACTGTACTGTACATTAAAAGATGGTTGAGCTTATGTATTTTGGTTTTTTTTTTAACTACACATCTTTTTTAGTTATGCATTTATATAAATTTGGGGAGATGCTTAAACTAATTATGCCCTGAAACCTTTAATTCTGGAAATTCTTAGTTGGGTCTACTTTTTTTGAAGTTGTAGCCTCAGAGCATTAATTTATTTGTAAATGGTCATCACGCTTACTGACACACAAGTACTGTATAATTTAAGTCATTTAGTCTTCATCACGACCCCATGAGGTAGGTATTATATTATTTTTGCTATCTTATCATAGACATTTTCAAATAAACAAAGAATTTGAAAAACTAGAACCATAAACATTTTCTACTTACTGTATAGATTCTTCAATAAATATTTTGTATATTTGCTTTAGCACACCTGTCAATTAATACACCTTATCTTTAAAATTCATTTCAAAGTAAATTTCAGACATCAGTAAACTTGGGGGGTAGGTATTTTTGTTGTCCCCATTTTACACCTGGGGGAACTAAGACACAGAAATTTGTTGAGGTCACTCAGTTTTTTAAGTAGTAAAAGTAGGATTTGGACCATACCTGCCATCACCACATCTACAGAATCCTGGTTCACATAATCTTAATAGGAGTTATCATAAAAAACCACTTTGTTATCCAATAAACTTGACAAGTACAGTATCTCAGTCATGAAAATGCATTTGTATGTTTCCTTGCTACACAGGATCTGGGCGGCTCAGCAGCAGAGGCACTCATTAAACTTTAAATCAACCATTTCAACATCTATTCAACTTGAAAGCATCTTTCTCCCAAACATAATACCCAGTAATGTCTCTGAGACCAGAATTCGGTGGAATATCTTTGGAAAATGCTCATTTAAGAGATAGCCAAATAGATCAGAGTATACTTTTAAGTTTATATTTTTAAGCATCATCCTAGAATTTTAGAACTGGTAGAGATCTTAGAGCTTGTTAAGACCAACACTTTGATTTCAGAGAAGAGGAGACCGAGACACATGGCGGTCAGGGCAGGCTAAGCATGTTCAGGTGCTTAGTGACAGGTGGCGGCCCAGGGCCGTGGTGTAGCTGGCAGTGGCTGGTTAATGTTTGTTGAATAAATGAGCCCATCTAAATCTGTCCATTTTTATTTCCACTACTTATTTATCTACGTGTTAGAATTTGTACTGATTTTCAGAGTATGTTGGTTAGTAGAGAATCTGTTAACATTTTTATGTTAACTTTTGATATAAACTATAATTAATACATTCTCAAAAAATTATCATGATGTACAGTGTACAGGAAAGTGTATACAACGTCACTGTACAGCTTAACAAATAGTTATAAAGTGAACCCTGGTTTAACTACCTGAGTCAAGAAGTAAAGTGGTTGCTGGGACCCCTGAACCCCCCCCCCCCCCCCGTTAACTCCCTCCTGTTGGCTAATCCCTTTAATTTTTCTTATCTCTTTCATTTTTAGCCAATTTGACAGGACATGCAGAAAAGGTGGGCATTGAAAATTTTGAACTCCTGAAGGTCCTAGGAACTGGAGGTAAGTCATAAATTTATTTCTTTTAGGAAAAAAGTACTGGCTATCTCTGTGACCATGAGTTATATCCCCAACATAGAAGTGTTATAATTTAGCAAGCATAAGGGACCCAATAAACATAAACCATTTTTTTTTGAAGAAATAGAAAAGGCAAAATTTAAAAAATTTCTAAGGACTTGGGAAAACCAATCTGTCTTACCCTACTGCAAGGACCATGAATTCATTCATTTGCACAGGATGGTATTCGGAGAGCTTTTGCCAGTGCCCAGTACTCTGAAGTACTGTGAAGCACCTGACACTGGTTGGGTCAGACAGTCCTCACTCAGTCTTACTGACACTCAAGCTTACTATTTTTAATAATGGAAAACTGAAGACTCCTCAAAACCTGACAACCTGGGTGTGGGTAAATGGAAGTTGGGTCTATATTTTTGAAAGCTGTACACAATATAATAAGTAAAAACAAAATAAGGCTAGAGAAGACAACGTCTGAGAACGCACAATGTCTTGTTTCCATCATATATATCAGGGAACGGCTGATATATCATATATATATGATATATATCATATATCAGGGAACGGCTGCCTGTCTTGTGTTCCTAGAAAGATCCGGGAGCTGTGCAGCGGCTGGCTCTGGGTGGTGGGGTTTTAGATGACCTTGATTTTCTGCTTTAAATTTTCCCTTCTGAACTTTTGCTAGCACTGTGCTTGCTGTTAAGAGTTAAGGCCCCACCACCAATCAATCGTGCTTTGGTAGTGGGAAAGCATGGTGATCACACCTGAGGGGAGAAACCCTATAATGTGAAAAAATAAACAAGGATGTAAAATTAAAAAAAAAAAAAAGAGTTAGGGCCCCACCAGCATATGGCCAGTCTAGCTGCGGAGCAGCCCACCCATAAGCACATTAAGTCAGAAGGAAAAAGATGATACCGGGCCCTCCCTGGTGGCACAGCGGGTTAAAGCACAGCACTGAGAATCTGAAGCCGCTTCCGCATGAGTTCGATTCCCGCCTGCGTTCGATTCCCGCCTGCCCCGGAGGTGACCACATGGCGCGGCAGACCTCTCCTGACCCGCCCGCTGCTCCCCTCAGCAGTGTACTTCGTCAATCTGCCTGTTCTGCTCCCCACTCTGTCTCTGGTGAAGCCTCTCACCGCCCCTGAGCCTCTGGCCTGTACCCCAGTTCTGTATGCACAAATAAATAAATCTTTAAAAAAAAAAAAAAAAAGATGATACCGGATGGTTTCACTTATGTGTGGAATATGAAGACACCAAGCAAATGTCAGGAAAAAGACAAAATGTGCCAGCTGCCCAGAGGTGCGAGGCACCCAGGCACCGGGCAGGGGAGGCCCGGGAAAGAGGTCCAGACGGAGGAGGGAAGAGCCTGGGGGCTGCGTGATGGCTCAGGTGCTGTGGTGGCGGAGAACTACTGGGACTACGCCCGGGGGAGACAGCAGTGCTGTCTGCCAATTAATGCTGGAGAAAGCCACGCCTCAGCGCAGCTAGCCTCTGCTGTCGCTGGCCTGCAGTCCCAGTAATTCATGCGTTGACCGAGCGCAGTGGCTCCGCGCTGTGAGCTCGCTCTGCTTTCCCTCCTTCGGGCAGGGGAGGGGAAGAAGGGTTCAACTCTGGCCTTTGTAGAACTGTTGGCCTTCCCTGGAGCCTCGGAGCACAGGACATTCTCTCCGCGCGAAGGTTCACCGCTCCGCGCTCGGGGAGGGTGCGCCGTCTCCGTGCCCAGGCCAGTAGGACTGGCAGGGCTGGCACCGGCCACGCTGGTATCTGCCCTCGGCTTCCGAGTGGCCAGGCCTGCCGGTGGGAGAAGAGTATTTCTCCCGGGATCCCAGCACACTCGTGTCACTTCACCTTTGTTGTCTGCCTGCATGCCGCGGCCTTGCAGAGGGGGCGCTGATTTCCGGAGCAGCTGAGCCTATCACGGAGAGACAGCCTTGAGGCTGCCCGTGAGTAAGCCCTGCAGTTTATGCTCCGCAGAAAAGCATTTGGTTTTCAGAAGAGTTTATTGTCAGTGTCAACTTGGAGGTCTTACAGCACGTTCTCATCTTCAGATCATTTATGAAGTTGTAACCAAAGAAGGAAAACTAGGCCTATCCTACCATATCTCTAAGAAATCATGCTTTGAAAATATCAAAGCAGTGTTTTTTAATCCCTAACTGAGTTCCTATTTCAAAGGCAATCACTATTTAAAGGGCTCCCCAGTTCTGTGTGACCAAAGGGATGGAGCCAAATGGGGATGCTGCATGCAGTAAGTCAGGAGAAGAGGGACACTGAGTGCTGTCACACATGTGCAATGTTAGGGGAAACCCCAAGACTGAGGAGCTGACAAGACTAAAATAAAGCCCTAGAAATATGGCTGCAGAATAAGAGGGGAGGGGTGCAGGGCTGCACCTGTTTCCCTAAATCGTGGACAGTGTTGTAAACCACTGAAGAGAAAAAGAAAGTACATGTTCAGTTCACAGAATTTTGTAACAATCACCAGTCAATTCTAGAACATTTTCCTTCCTCAGACAGAAATTCTGAACCAAGGCCTCCCTAGTGCCTTGGGGGTTCAGTCTCCACGTTGTCACCACCACAGCCTGAGTCAGAGCCCCAGCCAAGGAGCTGACCCATGGGGTGTCTCCCCACTGCTCCCCTCTGCAAATTATATCAGTAGATCTGCCTGTTCTACTCCCCACTCTGTCTCTGGTGAATCCTCTCACCCCACTGCACCTCTGGTCTATACCCCAGTTCTTGTATGCCTTAAAAAAATAAAAATAAATCTTAAAAAAAAACAAACAAACAAAACAACTCTGAACCCTTCAGCTGTTCCTTCCAGAGCTTATAGTCTCTCTAGCCCTCAGCAATCACCAACCTACTTTCTGTATCTATATTTGCCTGTGCTGGACATTTAATATAAATGGAATCATATAGCATATGTTCTTTTGTGTATGACTTTTTTTCACTTAGCATATGATTTTGGGTTTATCCGTGTTGCAGCTTATTTCAGTACTTCATTCCTTTTTATGACTTAATACTATTCAGTTGTATGGGTAAACCATATTTTATTTGTCAGTTGACGCAGTTGATGGACATTTGGGTTCTACCTACCTTTTGGTTATTATGAGTAGTGCTGCTGTGAGTATTCGTGTACAAGACTTTTTGATGAATATATGTTTTCAGTTTTTTTTTTTTTTTGAGTCTGTACTTATGGACTACTGGTTCAAATGATAATTTTAATTTTAATTTTTTGGGGAACTACCAGACTGTTTTCAGTATATGAGGTTTGCAGTATCTCCATATTCTTTCTAAAACTTATTTTCTAACACTTTTATTATAGTTAGCCTATTGATAGTTAGTGACCAACATTGATTTTTACGGATGAGATTCATTAATGTTTCTTGTCCAGCTCAAGTGAAATAAGTCAGAAGAAAGACAAATACTGAACAATTTCACTCATACATGGAACATACAGTAAAATGTTCATGTGACTAAATTTGAATTAAACTCCAGTTTTCACTTTAGCTATTTTATACAAACTCATGCACCCTTAATTATTTTGAATAGAATGTTATATAACTTCTCTCCTAAATTTATTCCAGTTTTAAATAATCCTTGATGAAAGAATACTTCTTCGTATATATCCATTTGGCACCAATTAGGTACAGCAATTAGAGAGATTGTAGGAAGTTTGTACAAAAAATGTTATGTACTAAACTTAAATTATACCTGTGTTGCTTAAGGAGTTTGTAGTGTGTCTTGCCCTCACCCCTTTTTTAAATCTCTTAATTCAGTAATACAAATACCTGGGAAATAGAATTTAGAGAAACAGAAATTTTCTTAACTGGTAAGTAAAGCCTCATACATATAGTAGTCTCAGTAATATTTACTGGACAAATGAGTACCACATTATAGTTCTTTAAAGAACCGTGAATATTTGAAAGTCAGTTGCTACTTTTTATTTGTTCACAGATGTTTTAGAGATTAGAATTTGCATTCTCTTTTATAACTAAAGTTTTAGAAATGTCAGTTTTATCTTTTATACCAAAGCGAAGTCTTAGTATAAACTACCATAATTAATGAAGTAAAACTTGTATTAATATATTTTAACTAGGTTTTGATCAACCCAGTTGTTGTTGATTTCATTTTATAAATCGATAATAGAAATCAACAAATATAGAAAAAAATATAACATCAGACTAAAATGACATTGTATTCCACATAGGGTCAAAACCAAAAAACTTTTATTCTATTCTAATAGATGATTCCTCTGTAGCAAAATAGACATAGGATATACAGATATTCTCAAGCATACTTTTAAAATGTAAAATCATTTTTCTTCATTGGATTTAAGCATTCAAAAAGAGCCATGAAGCTAATTCTATGCCCGATCTTTAAATTTTATGTCTGGTAGTAAATTCTACATACATAAATAGAAATAGAAAGGCAGCTTTTGCCTCTTCTGATAAGATAACAACAACGTAGATATCCTAGAAAATCTGTCCCACAACTAGTCCTCAGTTTTTGGATAAAATATCTCAAAAAAATAAGTTTTACAGATAAGTATTGTAAAGTAAGTTAGCTCACAAAATTAAGGGAAAAATCAGAAGTTACAAAATGGGAGCAGGAATCAAGAAAAGCAGTGTTCTTTGCAGACAGGTTATGCTGGGAAATCTGCTAGTGAATTCTGAGCTAGCTGTTTGGATTTACCATTTTCACACTTAGTATGGGAGAGAACATCTAAAATCCCCAAAAGTAAAGAAGTCTCTTACATAGTAAAAGACTAAAGGAGAGAAAAATACAGCTTACAAAGGGAGATGAAGAAGTCATTGCTCTGCCTTAGCAATGCTTCTGGGACAAGGGGGCAAAACAGTAAGTCTTGCCTAAGCATTCACAGCAGAAGGCAGACATCATGTAGGTTTGCAGCTTAAAGTTGCACACATCTGTGTGTGTCCAAAAAATAAGAATTTAGCTTATAGTTGTACTGAGTTGATGATATTCCTAGGTATTTAGCA